TATATATATATATATATATATATATATATATACGGATGTATGTATAGTTCTTTTTGCATAATAACGATAGTAAAAGGATAAATTAAGAGTAAAGGATGGAATCGATATGCTATTGATCGTTCACTTCTTTCTATTTATCTCCTCATTTTTTATCATTCTTCTATCTACTTTACCATCCATTCAAATCTCCAATACAGAATTTTCACTTATCTGTGTGCCCTCAAATGGTTAGTATACATTCAGTATTTCTTAGAATGCCCTTGACCTTATCACGAAAGGTCTCTGTTCTAGATTCATCATGCTTTCACAAAGGGAAAAAAGGCTTGCCATTTATCGATCGTCTTCCAGATGATATTTTGCATTTGATATTTATTTATGCAATACAAGATGAGCAAGTCATCTTTCCCCTAATACGAGTGCTTTCCTTGGTGTGTAAACGATGGAATACTTTATGCCAGCACTCATTGATCTGGGAAGTTGTCGCCAAGAAGGTCTTTGTAGTATACCCGCTGGTTATGTTTCTCGAACACGAAGTGCCGTTTGACAAACAGAGCCGTGAGTTTATAGTAGAAACCAAACTATTGGGTGATTCTAAAAATCACATTCCTCAGTGCCGTTCGATAGAGAAACGGCAAGCTCCTACAAAAGATCTTCTTCAGGAGGCTATGATGGTTGTTCAAGATTATCGTAAGCGGCAGCAGTATTACAAATACGTCCAAAGGCGCCGCGGTCTTGTGCTGAATCTCTTTCTCTCCGTTGCCTTATTATCGCTCTTCTGCGCGATTACCTCGGCGATGTGTGCCGCGGAGGATGTTTCATCTAGTCCGGTCTGCTCGAGACGGGCCTCCTTCAACTTTCTATGGCTCTGCTATCTTTGTATTATTGCACTTATTATATCGAATGTTGTGATGCTAACGCATTTCGAGCCTCTTCCACTATTTTCTAGAATTCGTCGCAATAAACTTCTTATCACGACATCTGCCGCCCTCATTATGCTCGGGATCTTTGATGTAATTATTCCCACACTGCTTATTCAGATGAACTTGTCGCGCAAACAGCAGTTCTCATGGCTTTGGTGTGGGGCTACTATTATCTTTAGTTTCTGTGTTTGGCAAGGGTGCGCGCTAAAATGCATTATCCCAGACGCCCGAGACCATTTACATCATCAGTTAGAATCCGTCAACATCAGGGATGGCTTCCAGTTTATATTGCTAAACATTCCGAACGCATTCCCTTTGCTATTCGCCTCGGCGGCTTTTTGCGCCTTGCAATACGTTCAACACGGTTACTGGTTTTATGCTTTGCTAGGTGGGATCCCGGTCATCGTAAGCCTGTCTATCATCATGTTAGTTTTCTTGCTTGATTACCTTTGTTTTTTCCGCTGGAAGGATCTTTCCATCGCGATGTGCCTCTTTAGCGGGATTCTATTCCCATTATCATTGCTGGTGTGGAACTTTCGTGGTTGGTGTCTAATCCCACTTGCGATCTCCACTTTTGGTGTGCTTATGTCACATTTTTATTATGTAGTTATGCGAGCATTACGAGAACTACAAAATGTGGAAAAATCTACATCAAACAGGTGTTGTAAGCATAGATGAAATGCGGATCTTTATTTGAAATCCTAATCATTTCGTTATTTTTATCAGCGCTGACGGACAACTTGATAAATATAAGTGTAAATATATATATATATATATATATATATTATCATAACCTGATTTTATTCTTTGAAAATCGTAGAAAGTGATTCAGAAGATTAAAGCTGCTGTTTGCCAAACTCTGATCTTCTGAAGAAGGATATGGATTGTTAAGGGGATAAACTTCTTTATCCATTTTTTTTTCATTAGGCATTTTGCACACACACATAAAAAAATGAAAAATTTGTTTTGGGAATTACATTCCGTGGTGAAATCATGCTTAAGCTTGTAACTTGATTTCTATTCAAATTAGGCTTTTTTTCTTGAAATCAACAAACAAGATGAGGTACGCCACTTGTTGTAACCTTTTTGTTGGTAACATCTTAAGCCAGTGTAATTACATTACTTTAATATATATTTTTAGAATAACTCCGCAATCATGATCGCTTTTTTTTTTGTAAAAAACAAACGTTTTTCTTCTTACTGCTGAAGGTGGCACTTATGTTGTGTGCACGAAGAGTATTTTTAGGTTTCCTATTTATGGCGATTTATGGAGCATGTTCGAGAGAGATTCAGGCTGGCTTAGCGGTATCTTTATTTGATTGCCATGGCGATACTGAGTCACTTTTTAGTACTAGGATAGGAAATATTTTTTTTAAACATCCCACCAGCCCAGGTGACTCCAACACGTGGAGTTTTCACGGAAGGAGTCCATCTGGATCCCCACATTGTGAGGTTTAAACATTTCAAGCTTGTTGTACTCGGAAAACTAATAACTTCAAATGAAACCTTTGATGGATCAATAAACATAGGCAATCATGTTATACACAGGCAAAACCATTATACAGCTTATGAGTCAACGATAATAATGATTCTCATTTGTTCCTTCCAATTTAGGCTAAGCACGTAAAAGTTGGTATCAATTTTGGAATAACGGGTCCAAATTTTTATCTGCACGTGGAGTGTCTCGCAGATTATGTATGCATGAGTACGAAGATAAATGAATGGAACGCATCTCCTGAGGTTCGGTTGATTACCCTAGGAGTTTTCGTTCTGATTTTAATTGAATTATGCCTTGTTAAGCTTCATTTATTATGTTTTCCCCCCTCTATCACCAATTCAATTGTGTAATTGAATAGTTTTAATACTTAAATGCTGATGTGGATGCTTCCAAAAGAATTTCGTCTGACATTTTTAGGTATGCTTGCACCTGTTGTGGGGGCTTACACGACATCCAAATTTTTCTTATCATTATTTATTTTCATCGATATTCATCAGTGCATCCATTATCATAGTGTGTTATATTTAAGCAAATGCCAGAAAAGTGGAAACCGACTAAAAACTGACCTGTAGCCCTTTGTATACTTCACCCAGTGCGTAATTGATATGTTGATCGTTTATGATTATTTCGTCTTTCTAAATTCCTCTCGTAGAAAAATAGGGAACCCTTGAATGGAGCAAAGTATCATCGATTTCCAGCAATACACCTCCCCTGCGTGCTGGCGACGTCCGGAGCAGCTTCGCGGGCTGATTCGGAATCACCCCGACCTCCTCTCCGAGAGCGAGTCGTTGGCGGCGCCTGGGAATCTCTTCCAATCCGCACGGCTTGCGCTGCATAACCGCGAGAACGCCCTCGCGATCGCGCTCACCCCGTTTTCCGGGACCTCCTCGATTGGGTTGATGCCACTCGCGGAAGGGGAGCCGACGCTGCGAGGGGCCTCACGGATCGCATGGCGCGACCTCCCCAATGGCCTCCCTGCGAGTGGGGTGGATTGGTATG